CCCCCTGCCATCTCTGTTTCTTCCTTGGTGCAGATGGGAACCGCTACCACCTACGCTGCTACATGTACCAGGCCCGGGACCTGCCTGCAATGGACAAGGACTCTTTTTCTGGTAGGTGGGAGAAAGTAGGAGAGCCAGGGACCAGGGACTGAGAGCTCGGAACTGAGCCATTGGGCCTTTGGACCACAGGAAACACAGCACATGGCTTCTCCTGCAGGTTGGGGGCAGTGTTTGCTAGGTTTGTGAAGATGGCTGTTGTTGCCAGGGTCACTGTTCCCGGACTGATACCCACCTCTCCCCCGCGGTGAAGGCGCCATGGAGCGGCCGGCGCCCCTGGCCGTGCTGCCCTTCTCGGACCCCGCGCACGCGCTGAGCCTGCTGCGCGGCCTGAGCCAGCTCCGCGCCGAGCGCAAATTCCTGGACGTGACCCTGGAGGCGGCGGGCGGGCGCGACTTCCCGGCGCACCGCGCCGTGCTGGCAGCCGCCAGCCCCTACTTCCGCGCCATGTTCGCCGGGCAGCTGCGCGAGAGCCGGGCCGAGCGGGTGCGCCTGCACGGCGTGCCGCCCGACATGCTGCAGCTACTGCTGGACTTCAGCTACACGGGCCGCGTGGCCGTCAGCGGCGACAACGCCGAGCCGCTGCTGCGCGCCGCCGACCTGCTGCAGTTCCCGGCCGTGAAGGAGGCGTGTGGCGCCTTCCTTCAGCAGCAGCTCGACCTGGCTAACTGCCTGGACATGCAGGACTTCGCCGAGGCCTTCAGCTGCTCGGGGTTGGCGAGCGCGGCGCAGCGCTTCATCCTGCGCCACGTGGGCGAGCTGGGCGCAGAGCAACTGGAGCGGCTGCCGCTGGCGCGCCTGCTGCGCTACCTGCGCGACGACGGGCTGTGCGTGCCCAAGGAGGAGGCCGCCTACCAGCTGGCGCTGCGCTGGGTACGCGCCGACCCGCCGCGCCGCGCCGCACACTGGCCGCAGCTGCTCGAGGCCGTGCGCCTGCCCTTCGTGCGCCGCTTCTACCTGCTGGCGCACGTCGAGGCCGAGCCGCTGGTGGCGCGCTGCCCGCCCTGCCTGCGCCTGCTGCGCGAGGCGAGCGACTTCCAGGCGGCGCGCTACGACCGCCACGACCGCGGGCCCTGCCCCCGCATGCGCCCGCGCCCCTCCACCGGCCTCGCCGAGATCCTCGTGCTTGTGGGCGGCTGCGACCAGGACTGCGACGAGCTGGTCACCGTCGACTGCTACAATCCGCAGACGGGCCAGTGGCGCTACCTGGCTGAGTTTCCCGACCACCTGGGCGGGGGCTACAGCATCGTGGCGCTAGGCAACGACATCTACGTGACGGGTGAGTGGGCTGCTCAGAAGGACTCTGGGCCGGCCGGTCCCCCAGGCAGCGGTCTCCGAGGTTGGCCTCCTGCGCCCCCCGAGGCAGCACGTCTACCTCCTGGAGAGACCCACAGAACCTGGAGTCCGGGACCACACCTGAGTGCAAACGATCGCTTCCCTTCCCCACGAGCTGTCCGGTGCAGGCCATTTTAGGGTCAATACTTTGGACCTAGAAGAAGAGCCCCTTGTGCGAGCCGGGACAAGTAGCTACTTGTGGGTCGCTTGGCGGGAGTGGTCTGCCTGGATAGCTCACTGCTTGTCCGGGAGTTGCCATCCCGCCATTTATTTGGAAGATACTGGAGCATTCACTCCACACAATGGGTGCTTTCTTTTCTCCCTAAGGAATCTAGGGACAGGCTCAGGGCTGACGCCCTATGAGACATCCATTCTTAACTCCTGGGGATTTCTTGCCCCCAGATGAGCCACCCAGGCCTCCTGACGCCTGCATTTTGTCATTTTGTCACGGGTGACTACGTTCCCTTGGGCTTACACCTTGGCTGTGCACTGCGGGTCACATGGTATTTAGGCTGCTTCCTGCCCAGCAACTGTAAACATAGTCACATGCTAAGAGGTTTTCTTCCAGTTACTTGGCCCAAACCCCAAAACACTGCCGAGTCATGCTGGGCGGGTCCCAGCCTGCTACAGCCCTGGACTTCTCCCACATTTTTTAAGGATAAATCCTGGCTTAAACAGAAGGCTACCTCCTTCCGTGGGGTAAGGAGGCGCAGTGTCTGAGGGCTATATAAGGAAAGAAGCTGAGTATGCATTTGGGTTCCGCTGAGGGCCGTTAGCAGGCAGTGAGGCTGGGCCCAGCCTGGCACATGCAGGAGAAAGCCAGCTCTGAGACTTGCTCGAGTGTTTGTCCCAGTGGGGCTCGGAGCTGACAAGTGGGAGGCACCCGGCCTAAGGACACGGTCGGCTCTGGCCACAGCTTCTTTGGCCTACACCTCCAGGTCCAGCCTCTGCTGGCATCTCCTGGAATCAGCCCCTTTGGGATCCAAGCCCCCCTCCCTCCACGAGCCGGTCAGACTGGCCCCAACTTTGCACACCCTTCCATAAATGTCGCAGCTGAGCAGCTAATCCTTTGGGTTTAGACAGGTGGCTGGGTCCTTCCAGACAGCTGCCTGGAGGGAATTTTCCGGGGGCGAGAAAGCCGCCTCAGCTGCCTTATGCACAGTCCTCCTGCAGAAGGAAGGAGGCCGACAGAGTGGACTTTACACGAACCTTGTTTTCTCCCTTTAAAAAGCTCAGGGCTTTGAGACAGATAGAATGTCACGCCTGCTCCGCCTGTGGCGCCAGCCTCGGGGGTAGGGAATGCAACCCTGGGGTCCCCCCATGCTGTAGGAATTCTAAGTCCTGGGTAGACGTGGTTTATTTATGATTACAGTAAGCACCACTGGTTTTTTTTTTTCTTTTTTGAAATAAATATAGAGAGAGTATATATATGCTCGTACAGCTTGAGGAGTTTTTTCTGGACAAAACGTGACAGTAACGTGCAGCCAAACCAATAACTAGAGCCCAGAAGTCCACCGCAGCATGACTTTCTGTGTGGAGCTCTTGCGGTGTGAAGGAGGTTTCCTCTGAGCTGTTCTGGTTCAGCCTGGGGTACAGGATGGTCAGGAAGCCTAAGATTTGGTGCATGAGTCTCTGCTCACCCCACTCACATGCCTCGTGGCTCCCTGGGAGAACTGGTTCTGAGACCTAGTGTTCTGACCCGGTGTCGGTTTATGTGGGTTCCGCATGAGGTTGCTGTCTACTTAAGAATTGCAGCCCAGGGCCTTTGCGGGGCCTACAGAGATTTGGCAGTGTGTCTGTGGCATGAGGCTCGGCTGTCCTCACAGGCAGCAGGCAGCATCTGCCTTGCCTTACCTGGGCACTGGGGAGAGAGGATGTGTGTTTGCATCAAAGCCCAGGGAGGTTCATTCCTCCTGGAGACGCCCTCTTGGAAGGTGAGGGAGGTGTGGGTGGGTGACTCAGTCCGAGTCAGCGTGGGCCGGCCTGACCGTTGTACGTGTCCTGGCAGGTGGGTCTGATGGCTCCCGGCTCTACGACTGCGTGTGGAGGTACAACTCGAGCGTGAACGAGTGGACGGAGGTGGCGCCCATGCTGAAGGCCCGCGAGTACCACAGCTCCTCCGTGCTGGACGGGCTGCTGTATGTGGTGGCCGCCGACAGCACGGAGCGCTATGACCACACCACCGACTCCTGGGAGGCCCTGCAGCCCATGACCTACCCCATGGACAACTGCTCCACCACGGCCTGCCGCGGCCGGCTCTACGCCATTGGCTCCCTGGCCGGCAAGGAGACCATGGTGATGCAGTGCTACCACCCGGACGCCGGGCTGTGGTCGCTGGTAGACTGTGGCCAGCTCCCGCCCTGGTCTTTTGCGCCCAAGACGGTGACTCTCAACGGACTCATGTATTTCATCAGGTGAGTCCCCAGGGGCCAAGACCAGCCACCATGTGCTCCTTCCCAGGCCCCGTGCCTGGCACATCCTCGCTGCTGTCCCTGTGACACAGATGCGGGAAACGAGGCCAGGTCTTCCCGACCTGCTGCCTTTGTCCTGCCCTGTACCTTAGAGCTTTGTCTCTGGGCTTCTGTGGCTTCTTAAGGGATCCAAAGTGCGGTGGAGTTCGGTCCTTTTGGGGAACTTTTTGAGACTCAGACGCTAAATAAAATGTGTCCCTTTAGGGAACTTCCACTTGGAGGATCCACTAAAGGCCCTGGCTGTCCTCACATGGCATTTGTTAAAAAGGAACCTTTCCTACCTAGAGGGATCCTGCATTTTAAAAAGACCGGAGGAGAGCTTTTTGGGTACTCAGATCTTTAGGGGAGTTGTAGCCTTGAGAGAGGGACCTTTGCTCACTTAGCAGTGTCCACGCTCCCTGTTTAAAGCAGCATTTGCGTATCCAGTATGTTTCCACGGTCCTGTCCATTGCCTTCCCACCAGGCCTGGCGCAGGGAGGGCTCACGATTCTTGGTGAATGAATGCTGTTGTCCAGGGATCCCACAGCCGCTCTGGGCCAGGGCCAGGGCCAGGAGCTGGCATGGAGCAGGCCCGGAAGCCGCCTCTGGGAACGATGACAGTAGCTAGTGCGTATTAGGCCCCTGGACTTGCTGAGTGCTGTGTTGTCTTTTTCATGGGTGTTTTCACGGTTGATTTCCCTGACAATCTGATGAGTTGGGCACCACTGTCGTCCCCGCTTCACAGATGATAAAGGAGAGGCATAGAGGGGTAGGGGACTTAGAGCCACTGGCTTTAAGCAGTGGTATAAGGTTTGAACCGAGGACATCCGACTGACCCAGATCCCTGTGTGGTGACACTGCATCATGGCCTCCCTGGGCCAGGCCATGGACCTGGCAGCATGGAGCAAGGATGGGCAGCCATTGGTCACCATGCATCCTCAGGTCTTGGTGACCAGTCACAGGCAGATATTCTCTCCTGATGGGCCAGCGGGCATCCAGGGGACTAGGAGCTCCTGCCCGCTGCGCAGCTTCCATGTGTCGTACACCCACTGCTCCCCTTCCTGGCCTGCAGCCTGCCTGCGGTTACGGGGCCAGGAGGGAAGGGGTGGGGTATGAACAGTGCTCCCCGTCTCTCTTGGGTTGAGGGCTTTGAATTGAGAGCCACAGAGGACATGTGCGCTTTGCCGCTTCTGACCCTTCACCCAGCTCTCCCTCCAAGTCCTGGCAAATGTCTTCAAAGAGAGGGTGGAGACAGCTATAAATACAGCTCATCAGAGTGCCAGCCCCTCAGCCATGGTTCCAGGCTGAGTGCCTTTGAGAATGTCCTCCCACCCTGTGGTCCTAGAGCAAGGGTGCCCAAGGGCTGGCCCGGCACCGTAAGGCCCCCTTGCTTTCCTCCTCCTGGTCTCGGTCGCTTGTCGTTGCTAACGCGCCCCCACATGGAAGCATTAGGTGCCCCCTGCACCCAGTGAGCCTCTGCAGGGGTTCACCTAAGCCTGCTCAGCTTTTCCCCTCCCTCCAACCCAGCTGAGGAAGTGGGCTCTCACGAGGGCAGCCCGTTTGTCCTCCAGGTGAGTAGCGGGGGCCCCACCTTGCCCAAGAGGGGAGGCAAGGCCTGGGTCTGACGCGCCCGAGTGGTAGTCTCCCAGCCACTCCGCTCATGCCCTTCGGCACCCCGTGAGCCTCGTAACCCCTGCTCGAAACGCCACCTATCAGAGCCGCTGCTGTCCAAAAGGTGCCATCCCAGGGCGGGTAGCCGGAGCTACGTGCAGCCTCATCCCTCACTGCTGCTGTCCTGGGCTATGGGTGATGACCGGCTGCTCCCCGCTCCCGGACACACCCGCCCTGGTCCTCGCTTAAGGTGGCTCCTTGGCAGCGGTGTCTCTGCTGGGGGTAGGCAGCCTGGTGGGTCCCAGTATTAATTATCATCACCTGGGCCACAGAGTGAGAATGGCTTTTACATTTGGCAATGGTTGGAGGGAAAAATCAAAGCAAGAGGAATATTTCATGACATGTGAAAACTTGTGCGAAATTCAGATTTCGGCATCCGCAAAAAGGTTTTTTTGGAGTGCAGCCTGGTGTGGTCCTAGAATAAGCCCACACACAGCTCAGTGTGACTGGAGCCAAGTAAGTAAGCAGACGAGAGGGGACGAGGTCAGGCAGGAGGCCTTGGGGGGCCTTGGGCCTATACTGGGAGCACACTTACTGAGCGCCTGCTGTGTGCTCTGAACAGGACACCCGCTCTGCTGACCGGTCGGGGTCTTGGCGCTCTGCTTGTTGAGAAAGGCGTTGGACCTGAGAGTGGTCACATGTGCCTGTGGCCGTCTTTTGTGCTAGGACAGCAGCGTTGAGCTTTGGGGAGTTTCTGCAGGACCTAAAATATTTCCTCTCTGGCCCTTCTGCTGACCCCTGACCTTTGATCATTACTACTGCTATTTTGGGGGTTCGAGTCCTTGCTTTTTCAAGGCCATGCCTTTGAATCTTTTATTGCATGGATCAAGAGCGTGTCAAACTAGGGTGAGGGACCTTGACCCCAAAGGGAAGGGCGGTGCTGGTATCTTCCTTCCTGTAGCCATGGTTACCCCACTGTGTGCTGAGGACACAGCAGTGAATGGCATGGGATGGGCGCTGACCGCGCAGTGGTGAGGGCCGTGGCCAAGCAGCAGTCGAGGGGATGTGGGGCAGGGGGCCTTGCTAGTCAGCTACGGATGGATGAGTAGGAGGTGGATGGGAAGGACCCCGATAAGTTCAAGATCTGAAACAAGACATTATGGCCGCAGCGAGGGGAGGGGGCAGTGGGTTAGCGCTGGGCTATGGGGAAGGGTCTGAGCACCTGAGGGCGTGATCTTTGGCTTTGGGGAGCAAGTCTGGGTTCTGGCCTTGAAGTCCAGGCCAGATACGTTTGGGGACGTAAAATCAGAGATAGGGTCCCACTGGCCAGTGGGCTGCCGCATGGCACCAGACAAGTCCTAAAGGCGGGTTGCTTGGAGGACCCTCTTGTCCAGCCCTTCACACCCAGGGGTGTCCCCTACCTCGTTCTGACTTGCTCTCCCCTTCCTTCTCTCCCCAGGGATGACTCTGCTGAGGTGGACGTGTATAACCCCACGAAGAATGAGTGGGACAAGATCCCATCTATGAATCAGGTAACTTTGCCTGTGTTAGAAGCATAGGCTGGTCCTGTGTTTTGGCCAAAGTGTCACCCTGAGTCCCGGGGGCGGGGGGGGCTGTGCTGAGCCCTTTGCTTGTGTCGTTTCACCTAATAGAGGGCTGGGGTCATCCTCAACTTACACGTGAGGGTCGCTGAGACTAAATAATATCCCAGGGTCACACAGCTTAGCGAGTTCATCCATTTGGACTGGAATTCACTGAGTAGCTGCCATGACACAGAGAACATACTGGGGGACAGCAGATGCACGGGCCCGGGGCAGGATGTGCCTGGCGAGGTCCTAGAACAAGCCCACAGCTCAGTGTGGCCGGAGCCGAGGGAACAAGCAGACGAGAGGGGACGAGGTCAGGCAGGAGGCCTTTGGGAACACTTACTGAGCGTCTGCTGTTGCTCTGAGCAGGGCACCCGTGCTGCTGCCGCTGCCTGATCAGAGTCTTGGCTTGTCAAAAAGAGAGGTGCTGAACGTGCTAGTGTGTGGAGCTGGGAAGACTGGGCAGCCTTCAGCCACGCAGGCAGCGTCCTTAGTCCCAGATGCACATCTGCATCCACCTGCATCTTTTCTGTCTTCATTGAGATTTCTAAACTGGCTCTCATGATAACCTCTGCACGGCAAATGTCATAATTTACACCATCACAGCTTAACGTTTTTACATTTAGGAAGTGTAACTTTGTTTTTACCCTGTAATGAGGTACACATACTCATTATAGCAAATCTGGGAAAGAAGGGGGTAGTCCGGCCTCATGGATCAGAGCCCAGACTTTGGGTCAAGGCCCCGCTCTGCGACTGGCAGCTACATGAGGCTTTTTCCCATCTGTAAGATGGTGAGGACAGCCGTGCCCACCATAGAGGGCTGAAGCTACTCGCAGGGAGACTCAGTGCCGCGGTAGCCCCTGACTACCCCAGGGACCAGGCGTGGCACGTGCCTCCTGGGCGTGGAGCCCGGTTTCCTAGCCAGCGTGTGGGAAGGATGTGGGTCTGTCCTGCAGGCGTGCAGACGATGGCTCCCAGCACCACTTCGAGAAGGGCCGAGGCCGCCCCACCTAACGGTCTCGCACCCCTTCTGCGTGGAGAGGGGACCCTGCTCTGCCCTGGCTGCTGGCCTCCAGTCACCTGTCCCCTTGGCCCACAGGTGCATGTGGGGGGCAGCCTGGCCGTCCTCGGAGGGAAGCTGTACGTCTCGGGGGGCTACGACAATACGTTTGAACTCTCGGACGTGGTGGAGGCCTACGACCCTGAGACGCGGGCGTGGAGCGTGGTGGGGCGGCTCCCGGAGCCCACCTTCTGGCACGGCAGCGTCAGCATCTTCCGCCAGTTCATGCCCCAGACGTTCTCGGGCGGGCATGGCTTCGAGCTGGACAGTGGCAGCAGTGACATGGATGTCGGCCGGCCTCGGCCGCCGCAGAACCCCCACGAGCTGCACTAGCCCCGGCCTGGCCCAGGGAGGGCCTCGGTGCAGGTAACCGGCACCTCTGGGGGGCAGCGACCCCCTCCTTCGTGCACAAGGACAGGTCGGGCTCACCAGGTGGAGCGCAAGCTCTCAGGCTGCTGAGCGAGCCTCGGGGTCCAGCGCCTGGGGAATTCTGTGCATCTAGAGCCCCAGTCTCAGCCGCTGGGGCCAAAGCCAGTTGTGAACGTCCCTCTCTCGGTCCAGGCCTTTCTGCCAGCTCATGTCTCTGGCTCCAGAAGGTTGCCCCGGACCTCACCAGTGCAGCGCACACCCATCCCGCTGCCACCACCTGCACCTCCTTGCTCCCACCTAGGGAGAGGAGAGCCGCTTCCGGGGTGTGAGTGGAGTGGGGACATCCGTGCCACGAGACTGCGGACACCCTGCTGTCTTCGAGCATTGGGCACCAGGCAGACGATGGCTGCGCTGGGGTCCCAGACATCCCAGCCCACCTGCTCCCTGGACGGAGAGGGTCTCACATCAGAACACCCCTCGCAGGGGTGGGGCTGGCTAAGACTGGCCTAGGAGGGGCCCCCGAGGGACCCGCTGAGTGCCGTCTCCAGTGGACCTGGGCTGAGGCAGACGCCGGGCGTCCCCGTGCCTCCAGCCCCCTAGCAGGCATGGCCCCCTTGCTCAGAGACTGCTCTGGGACCTTCGTCTCAGGCTGAGGCAAGAGCGCGCAAAGCCTGCACGTGCAAGGTCGCGGCCGCTTGCTGGGGTCCTGGGAGTTCGCCCCTGAAGCCCTGCCAGGCAGGCGGCTGCAGACGCCCCGGCCAGCTTGGGAGCCGGATCCCCCGCTTCTAAAGCAGGCTGTGGGCAGGGCGGCCTTGGGTTGGTTGCAACGTGTGAAACGCAGTTTGGTTTTTCCTTAAAAAACAGGGGCAGCTGGAACCAGGGTCGGGTGTGTGCGGTTTTTGATGTTACGGTAGTGCCTCTGCCAAAGCTTTCTGCAGGTGCGTGTGGGGGGAGGGGGTGCCTTTAGCCCCTCAGAAGCCAGGCCAGCTCCAGGGAAAGCCCCCAGGGGCCCCAGTTTCCTTGGGGGAATGTGAGCATGTCTGTGGATTGGGTGGTCTTGTCCCCTTCATGATCCCCAAAACAGCCTTTGCTTGAGTTTGTCTTCCTCCTGGAGAAGAGGGTGTTTGCATTTTCCTCATGAGGCAGGTTGAAAGCAAGCGTTCACTGAGTTGCCTTCTGCCGGTGACCGGACGTGGGGACGTGCTCTCACCGAGAGAACACGGCGTCTTCGCGCCATCACTTCTCAGGTGGCACTTAAAACCCTCTTCCTGGCCAGGTGGCGCAGTGCTTCTGGGGAAGAGGCCTGTGGCCTTCAGGGCTGTCTGGTGGGCCCTCCGTGCAGTGTTATCGCTTTGGGTTAGAAATCGCTCTGGACACCCTGCTGGAGCGGCTACAGCTCAGCCAGCCCCTCTCATGCCTTTGGGGTTGCCACTCACCTGATCACTTACAGGCACCCACTGTGCGCCAGGCACTGTTGGAGGGCAGGTGGGGGTGGGGGCTCAGGCCAGCCGTAGGCTGTTTGGGGTCAGCCGCCCCGCACTATCTCTGCCTTCCCACCCAGGTCTCAGCCTTCAGCCCTCGTGGTCTGGGTGTTCTTGGGTGAGTTGGGGTTCACCTGCCCCTATCCACAGGGGCTGTTTCACTTCACTTTCCTGGGGCTGCTGTGGCTTTTTTCTGGCCTAAGTGCCTGCCTTACAGGCCCAGCTCCCTAGAAGTTGTCCCGTGTTCTGTGGGGTGGCTGTCTTTGGTTCCTTTGCAGGCAGAGGCTGCCCAGGTATGATGGCTTTTGTCCTCTCAGTGACACAGGGACAGCAGGCAGCACAGGATTGATCGAGCCCCGATTCTATGCCAGGCACTGAGCTCAGTTTCAGAAAGACTGTGCTCTGCCCAGTCTGTGTGGGAACGTGCCACACAGGTGTTCTGATAATTTGACAGGTCATCTGGGGGTCCCCCGGAGGAGGGACGTAGGCCTTGGTCTCAAAGAGACTTCTGGTGTCCATCCTCCAGGCTCTCTCCATAGAGGACCCCCTGAGGCCGCCCAGTAGGTGGGATGGAGTGGGAGATGGACGTGTGCTATGGTCACCGAAGCGCTCCCCTCCTCCCTCCAGACAGGCATGGCTGTGGCCCTATCAGGGTCCAGGATTTGCCCTGGGCAGCAAGGTATTTGAAGCTTTGTTGTTGAGATGGGCCTGCAAACATTGTTTTTCTTTCAAAATCAGCCCTTGTCTGGCCTTCCCTGTAGAAGCTCCCTCGTGGCAGGGGGCCCAGTGTCCTGGGTTCCTGCTCTTTTTGGTACTTCACCTTGACTGGCCGTCATGAGACTGACCATCCCCTGTCTGGTAGCTGTGCCCAGATGATGGCTGGCTTGGTGTGGGCTAGTGGAAGAGGGATTGGTTTGCCTGCTTCCCCAGGTCCCCACCACCTAGACCCTGTCTTTGGTGTAAGTGTGGGGAAGGTAGGTAGCAGCGTCGGGGACAGGCCTTCAGAAACACCTGCTCCCTGCTCTGCCCTCCTGATCTCTGGTCACAGGCCCTGTGCTAGCTACAAAGCTCCCACCGCCTGCTTAACAGCTGTCTATACACTGACTGATTTGGGGACAGAGGCTGGGCCAGCAGGGGTGGGACTGTCTCTGTGTGTCAGATGCACACACCTTTATCAGTCTAGTCTACAAGACAAATTAAGTTATGAGAACTTAATTTGATAGTATTTAACGTGCTGATCTACGAAGTAGTCTATTTATATGACCTCAGAGACTTAGGTACTAAAGACACCCTCTAGTGTCCAGCACCCAGTCCGACCCGAGGGCAGGGCTGGTTTGCGTATTTATTTGTTCTGTAGGCCTACGTGTCCAGAATCCTGTAAGGTTTTAGGATGCCTTCAATACATACTTTTTGAAATAAAAATATTTCCTACACATATGGTGTCGTTGCCTTCATCCTGCCGCTGCTGCGTCTCGGAACCTTTGGGCTGAGGCCAAACGTGTGTGTGGCAAGGGGAGTGGAGAAGTGTGGAGGCCTCAGGGCTCCTGTCCTGGGGCACAGCTTTTCAGGCCCTTTTCTTGTCTTGAGTCACCACAAAGTATGAAGTAAAGAGGCCGAGGCCAAGCCCAAGGTGTGAGGAACGTGGGTGGTGGAGTCCAGGCCTCGCTCGCTGCTCCAAAGCTGGTTCCTGCCTCGACTCTGCCTGTGGGCACCCTGCCCCTGAAGGTGTGGGCCCATGGTGGGGGGACCTTGGACCTGAGGGAGAGGAGTGTAGAGCCCCTCAAAGGAGGACCCCAGAAGAGGCCAGGGATCGCTGGGGCCATGGAGTTCTGAAACAGCCCTCTGAACCCAAAGAAGAGGCCACAGTGTGCCTTTTTCATGCCGTTGTCAAAACAACTCTGCAGCAGCTCAGAACCTGGGTGGCAGCCATGGCACTTGAACGCTTGTTACCTCTGAGCTCCCCAATGGTCAAGGAATAAAAGGAAAGATGGTTAGATGGGTCCTGGGTCTAAAACAGAAGGTAAGTGAACCTTCTCGAACTCCAGGAGGAACTCGGCACAGCCTGGGGCTGGCGTTTCCGGAATCCGGTGTGGGATTTGTGTGGCCTGACTCGCGCTCTCAACTGTCACTACCCGATTCGCTCCATGCCAAGCGCTGAGTGGCAGTGCTTAATCGCTGGTGAGGTTTTGCAGTCGTACGTTTGCAGATTCTGACCCGTTCCCATCGAGTGCTGGGGTCTGTGTCCCCTCCCCTGTAACCTGTAACCAGCACACGTGGCAGAGGTGACACTGGCTTCCAGGGCCAGGCCATAAAAAGGTCTTGCAGGTTTGGCCTGTTGGGGCTTTTGCATTTGGCACCCAGCCACCGTGCTGTGAGGACACCCAGGCAGCCGGTGGAGAGGGACCCAGGCCCACTGGCAGCGGCAACTTGCCAGACTCAGAGCCATCCTGAGCCCAGCCCCCAGCCCAGGGAAGTTCCGGGTGGCTCGTTCCCCAGCAGGAGGCAACTGGAACAGCAGGTTCTCGCTTAGCCCCATCTATGAAGCATGACTGTTAATTCCATTAAAAGATGAGGGAATGAAGCAGTAACTTGACTGGGGTCACAGCTGTTAAGTTGGGGAGGAATCTGGGGACAACCTGCCTTCAGTGCCCATGTGCTCTTCCTCCGTGACAAACCACCCCACTCCACGGTTTCCCCACAGCACAGAACCGGGGGACCCCCAGGGCCTCTCGCCATTCTAAGCCTGGCCCTGCATGTGCCCCAGGCCTCCCAGGCAGACTAACCAAGCTCAGGCCCGCCCCGGGGAAGGGGCCCGTCTGTGGACATGCCACCAGCCAGGGTCCAGGGCTTGCTTAGCCTCCTTGGGCCCCAGGTGTGCTTGGCCACACTCTTAACGGCGGAAGATGAGCCAGGGAGGCCATCGTCAGGGGCCCTGGCCACTCTGATTCCAGACCTTAGTGTCCTGCCCCCACTGGCCGGCAGCACCACAGCTATGAAATAGGAAGACCGCTGCTGTGTCTGCCCCCAGGTCTAAAACCCTGACCGGACGGGGGACGGGACAGATGAGGAGTGTCCTGGGCCAGAGGCTTGGCGCCCAAAACTACCCACCCAGTGTCACTCTGCCGAGGACACGACGCGGTGGGGAAAGTGCTGGCCGAGCTCTGAAGCGCAGTGGGTCGGACGGGGCACCGTTCCTTCTGGGGGACACGGGGGGAAGCAGCACATCCCTGGAGGCCGGGTTACTGGGGATCAGACCCCTGGATGGGCTGAAACAACCAAGTCCAAAGCCATGTGGTTTATTGGGGGTGGCGGGTGGGGGGCTACGTGTCACAGTCCTCAGGAATGGCGGCCGTGATGAGGAGCGAGGGCTCCGTGACGCCAGGGCTCGCAAAGTTCTCCTCTGCGCACAGTCTCTGGCCAGGGAGCTGGGAGGCCAGGCCCCCTTGGGCCAGGGACTCCACGATGACCTCGGCCGAGCCTACCTCCAGCTCGGGAGGCGGCTGCAGCGCCACCACCACCATCTTCTCGTCCTCGATGACCAGGTTCCGGAGCTTGCGCTGCCGCGGGTTGTAGTTCTCCACGCGGTCGTGGACCCCCATGTGCCTCCGCAGGTGCGCCTAGGGGGAGGGGCGCTCAGGGCTGGGGCGGTGCGCGCCTCACGCAGGGGCTCGGAGGCCCCGAGGCAGGCAGAGGGGACCCCGGGCCTACCTGCCGGGTGAACTTGTAGCCACACTCGGTGCACTCGAACTTCCTCACGCCCTTGTGCCTCCTGACGTGCACACGGAGCTGCTCCAAGGCTGTGCGAGGGAAGGGACCCCGAGGTCGGAGAGGCGGGAAAGGGGGAGTGGGCGGGCCGTGGGGGAGGTGACGGTCCTCTGAGTTCACATTTGCTGC